GTCTCCGTCCTTTTAATTAAATCTCTTCCCTGACTTTTAGTTAAACTTTCCCACCCTTTTCATTTACAGGTTTTTGAATTTAGCAATTCAATTCTGTGTAAACAACTTCCTTAGATTAAATTTGTTGCCAGACGCCTTATAATGTTGGTGGAATACTTAGTTTGAACACTACATGTATCTTTTATTATTGGTATGAAACATAAAGTGCACAAATGATAAGCCTTCATGAATTTTTGAACCCACCCAAAAAGACAGCAGAAAACAGCTCACTTGCAGCACTCTAGAATACCTCTTTATGTCCCTTTCCAGTCAACCCCAAAGGCTGCTACCAGTGGTGTGCTGGAGCTAACCTGCACCAGCCCTTGAGGGCTGACAGTTAAATTTTCAGGAATCTGGTAAGGCAGGTGTTAAACACGAACATTATTAAAAATTAAGTTATGTCAACTTAACAATTTTTAATATTAAAACATTTTACTGTGACATAACTTTGTTTTGGAGAGTGTTTATACAGACAACCTTCAATTTTTTTCTTAAGGACAAAATTTCTTGATTGAGTTACCATAACCTGTCTCTTAACTTGTAAAACTGGATATAAAAGCAGTGCGTGGAAGCTGAAGGAAAGAGAATGATTATATGACACAAGTCTCCTTAGAGTCCATCTCTGGCCCGTTTTATTTTAAAAACCAGGAGGCTATCGTTCAATTCAGTGGGAGCGTAGTCTAATTACGAGCTCCACAAAGTTGACGCTGAAAAGAGCTTGAGGCACCGGCTAAGAAGGGCTTGGGGCTGAGGTAGCGCAAGTGACACAGCTCAGGTTCTCAAAAGCCCTACCAGGCCGGGCTTCTTTTATTTCTCCTTCTCCAGCTTCTAGGCCAAATGCCTCAACGAATCTGGTCTGTGGAATTATCTAATACAAGGGAGAGAGTGAGAAAGGAAGACGGCGAGGTCGCCATGGACATTACGTTTCCGCAGATCCCACAGCGGTTCAAGTTGCTCCTCAGTTCTACAATCTCAGAAACCCGCGGCCCGGGCGTTCCCTCTACGCGCCACGTTTGCCCGCAGCGCGGTGACGTCACGGCGTCGGTGACGTGTCGTGAACGGCCCTATCTGGCGGCGCGCGCCCTGCGGTAGTTGCTGCCGCCGGGGGGCGCAAAGGCCGGGCCTAGCTTTTCAGCACAAATGTCAGTTATAACAACTGTAACAAGGCGGGGCTGGCCTCTGTGGAGTTTGCTGGCTTTCCTCTCTGAGGAAGTCGGCAGGCTCTGAATTTCCCACTTCCTCAGGCAAAAAGTGATCCACCTTAAAGCCAGCCTCGCCGAGGCAAAGTCCACCCAGTAACCGGCCTTCCAACAGTCTTGCCAGGTACCAGTGGAGGGGACCGGGGAGAAGCGCTTCCCCGGGGAAAACGTGAGGGTTCTCCGTGAAGTCTCTGACAGAAGCATCCTTGCTTTTCAGTTAGTTTCCTCTGGGGCAATTGTGCAACTTCTGGTGCAGAATCCAAGGCAAATCATCCTTTCCCAACACCCGACCCCGACTGCTGTCCCTAATTTTGTATCCCGTGTGATTAAAGGGTTCTAAATGGCTATCAAGTCAATCCCCGAAGCATAAAACTACAAAACATAGATCGTGGAGGTGGAAAGTGACGGATAAACTTGTGCAAATTAAGGGTGACAGAAGATCTACCTCCTAGGATTGCTAGGGAGATTCACTGAAGTATATATGCAAAATATTTAAATATTTTCAGTATAAGTATACGTTGCGTGTATTATTTTGGTATCATCATGGGAACATTTGTTAGATCTTTTTTTTAGCACAAGGAAATATAGTTTTTACTCTTTTTTTTTTTGGATGTTGACCACCTCTGCTTTCCTGCTTGTTAGCATAAACAAACTTCCCGTACTCATATGAAGCGAGTTGCCTCATTTGTATTAAAAGCCCTTTCTTGTTTTCTCAAGCATATCCCAACCATTTTCTCTTTGCCGGTCATACATTTTGCTTTTCAAATTGGATCATTTCCATAAGCATGTATATGTTTCTTAGGGTTGCCTTCTGGCAGACATGATGGCTTAAAACAGAAATTTATTCTCTCATATTTCTGGAGGCTGGAAGTCCAAAATCGAGGTGTTGACTGGGTTGGTTCCTATTGGTGGCTTTTAGGCTGATGATGTCCAATGCTTCTCTCTCTGCTTCTAGCAATGCTTAGCATCCTTCGGTTTGTAGACTCATCATTCCAATCTCTCCTCTGTCTTCACATTATATTTTCTCCTGTGTTTGCTGGCTGTACTTCTTTCCTCCTTTCCCCCCCTTCCTTCCTTTTCTTCCTTTTCTTTCTTTTAGACAGGATCTCACTCTGTTGCCCAGGCTGGAGGGCAGTGGTGCGATCGTAGCTCATTGCCTACTTGAACTGGGCTGAGCTGGTTCTCTTATGTCAGCCTCCTGAGTATCAGGGACTACAGGCACACACCACCACAACTGAAATTTCTTTTAAAAATTTTTTTGTGTAGGCTCGGCGCCTGTGGCTCAAGTGGCTAAGACGCCAGCCACATACATTTAAGGTGGCGGGTTTGAATCTAGGCCCGGCCCGCCAAACAACAATGATGGCTGCAACCCAAAAATAGCCAGGGGGTTGTGGGTGGGGGGGCGCCTGTGGTCCCAGCTACTTGGGAGGCAGAGGCAGGAAACTCGCTTCAGCCCAGGAGTTAGAGGTTGCTGTGAGCTCTGATGCCATTAGCACTCTACCCAGGGGGACAGCTTGAGGCTCTGTCTCAAAAAAATAAAATAAAATAAAATAAAATAAAATTTTTTGTATAGAAGGTGGTCTTGCTGTGTTGCTCAGGATGGACTCAAATTCCTGGCCTCAGCTATCCTTCAGTCTCAGCTTTCCAAAGTGCTGGGCTTATAGGCACGAGCCATCCCACTTGGCATAGTTTTTCTTTATGTAAGGGTGTAGTCATTGAATTAGAGCCCAGTCTAGTAGTTTAACAAAGCTTTTTTTTTTTTCCCCCTGCGGTTTTTGGTGGGGGCTGGGTTTGAACCCACCACCTCTGGCATATGGGGCCGGCGCCCTACTCCTTTGAGCCACAGGTACCGCCCTAACAAAGCTTTCTTTATGTCCCTCCTCTTCCCTTCCCTCCCTCTAGTGCCCTCTGTTCCGTTTTACTTCCATAAGATCAACTTTTTTTAAGCTTTCATATACGGTTTTTAACGTTCTATTATTGGCTTATTTCACTTGAGGTCATGTTCTCCAGTTCCATCCCTGTTGCTGCAAATGACAGAATTTCATTCTTTTTTATGACTGCATAGTGTTCCATTCTCTCTGTGTGCCACATTTTCTTTATCCATTCATCTATCGTTTGAGTCACACATTTTGACTAATTTGAGTCCACATTTTGGCTATTGCAAATAGCCACGCAGTGAATACAGGAGTACAAATGTTTCTTTGATATGCTGATGTTATTTCCTTTGGATGAATGCCCTGTAGTGGGATTATGTTCGTCTAATTGCATCAATAGTTTCTCGAGGAAACTCCTCACTGTTCTCCACAGTGCCTGTACTACTTAAGTTTCCCACCAGCAGTGTATAAGGGTTCCCTTTTCTCTGCATCCTTACCAGCATTTGTTATTTTTCATCTTTTTTCGTAACAGCCATCCTAACTGGGGAGAGATGATAACTTATTGTGGTTTTAATTTGCACTTCCCTGGTGATTAGTGATGTTGAACATTTTTTCATATACATTATTTCTGGTCATTTGTATGACTTCTTTTGAGAAATGTCTGTTCAGATCATTTAACCATTTTAAAAATCAGATTTTTTTTTTTTTTTTTTTTTTTGCTGTTGAGATGTTTGAGTTCCTGTATATTCTGGATATTAACCCCCTGGCAGATGAATAGTTTGCAAATATTTTTTTCAGTCCTGTAGGTTAACTTTTTACCCTGTTGATTGTTCCATTGCTGTGCAGAAGTGTTTTAGGTTTGTGTGTGTATGTTTGTTTGTTTATTTATTTATAGGTTTATTTTTGCTTTTGGGGTTATATCCATAAAATCTTTAGCCAGTCTAAAGTTCTGAAACATTTTTTTCTATATTTTCTTCTAATAGGTTTATGTTTTCAGGTCTTATATTTAGGTCTTTGATGTACTTTGAGTTGATTTTTTTAATAGGATGAGAGATTAGAATCTATTTTCATTCTTCTGCCTATAAATACTGAGTTTTCCCAGCTCCATTTATTGAAAAGCCTGTCCTTTCTCCAGTGTATTTTCTTGGGGCCTTTGTTAAAAATCAGTTGGCAATAGATATGACACATGGATTAATTTCTGGATCATCTACTATATTCCATTGATATATGTTTCTGTTTTTATGTCAGTACCATGCTATTTTGGTTACTACAGCTTTGTAGTATATACTCACATCTGGCCCTGTGAAACTTCCAGCTATGTTCTCTTTGCTCAGGATTGCTTTGGGTATTTGGAATATTTTGTAGTTGTATGCAAATTTTAGGATTTAATAAAAGCCAACATTTTCCATATGGCAAGAAAGTGGTATGGAAAAGAAGCAATGTAAATGATTCTTGGCTAGTAATTTCTTTGAACTCAATTTTATTCACATTTATTCATTAAAATGAATAATGATATATAGATGAGGCATATATTAACTTAAAAATGATGGATGTTTTATTGTTATTATGCTTAGGTTTAAAACTACTTGGTATAAATTAGATAATGTGAGGACTGCATTCTATTTTTCTTTGTTTTGCTTAAGTTATTGTAACTCAAAGGAGCCTAAAATGTAGTTGTAGCTTACAGATGTTGCTTGATGTAGTCTGAGAAAATTGTTAAAAGCATGAGAACAAAAACAGAAATATAGTATGTGAATTTAATTAGAATAAATACATTTTTGTTCTTTTAATTAAATAGTGTGATATTTTCTCTGATTCTCTATGTTTTTATTCACAGGGAGGAATGAAAATTTTTCATCTGTAATTTAGAAGCTAAGTTAATAACAAAATGAATTCAGCAAAGTATCTTTTGACCACTAGTAAGAAATTGGCAAGTGTTCCTGAATTAAGAAGTAGTAGAAGTGTATCAGTTAAATTGCCTTCGCCACCTTATTCAAAGAGAAGAAACAGCGCAAAAGTAGTACATGATAGAATTGAACCCATGGTGCTAAGATCTCCACCAACAGGAGGATCTGTTGTGCAGTACGCTTTGCCTATTCCATCAAGTAGGATAAAGGACATTTTAGCAGAAGATGAGATGCTTGTGAAAATTACCAGACATCTGAAGTCGGTAAGACACGTGCTGGTCTCTGTGTTGGGAATCCTTATGACTATCCCCAAGTTTGGTGGTGTTTTTTTTCCTCTTATTAAATCATATACACATAGATCATGAATACATTTGTGCATTTGTGGGGTACAATGTGTTGATTTTTTATACAATTTGGAGTGCTTATATCAAACTAACTAATCAGCATAGCTTTCACCTCATTTAATTATTGTGTTAAGACATTTATGCTCTATTCTTGATAAATTTGACTTGTACCCTTGCAGTATGCTTCACAGGTGTAGTCCCATTATTTACCCTCCCTCTATCAAACTTCCCCCCATTCCCCTCTACCTCTGTCCTTCATCCTGTGCTATAGTTGTGATCTATCATTCATAAGAAAGTGCGAGTAATTATAAATTGGTTTCATAAAAGTACTGAGTACATTGGATACTTTTTCTTCCATTCTTGAGATACTTTACTGAGAAGAATATGTTCCAGCTCCATCCATGTAAACATAAAAGAGGTAAAGCCTACATCTTTTTTAAGGCTGCATAATATTCCA